ATTACATTTTATTTTAATCTTTTATTTTAATGTTTATTTTAAGGCTGGGATACAATACCCTAATTAAACCTATTCAGATTTTAAAAGTTGTGTAGTATATTCCAGCCTTAAGATAAGTCTATAAATTATTTTTTATCTCTTGGCTGATATTTGACATTTAAAACAAATTTGAACTTTGTGTTTGGCTGCAAACATATATTTTGGCATCCATAGTACTTTTTGTCAAGATCAAATAGTTCTCTCAAATGTATTAACTTTGAATAAATTATTTTCAAATAATTTAGTAAATGGCATGTAAAATACGTTTTATAAATTTTTATTTTTATCAAGTTTATCAAATAGTTTTTCAAATTGATGAATGTTTAAATTAATTATTAAAATGAAAATAAGTAAATATTATGTAAAATAATTAAAAAATAGTTTTTTTTATAAAATAATCTTATTACATTAATATTATGCATGTTATTTACTTTAAATTAAATTGTGTGATATATTTCTGCTTTATATCGGCCATCAGTTATACTAATACAATGCAGCTGCCCACTGTTAATCAGTTCTCTTGGTCCCTCATTGCTACTCTACGTCAGGATTCAGATTGTGTTGTTAAAACATTTACCAGCAGAGGCTAACTAGTTGATTCACAAGTCGCTAAAGAAACAGGGCATGAGAAGTAGGGTTGCTCCCTGACAATTCTCTCTCTCCACATCCTTCATTTTACACCCTGCCTCCATAAGTGCCACGGTGATGGACGTCCTAAAAGGATGCAGATTTTATTCTATCTAATTTTCAACCAGTGCTTGAGCTTTAGCCAGCTAGACACTTTTTTAATGACTCTCCCATCTCAGAGGTCTCATTTCTACGGCAACATAAAGCCTCATACATGGATAAGGCCTCTTATTTTCTCTTTTCCTTCTTATACTCTCTCTTATTTTCTTTTTTTCTTTTTTTGTCTCCCGACTGTTCTCTCTTATAGCATTGCCTTTCCATTTCTATTCGACTCTGTTTATAATCGCTACATCTTTGAATCAAGCTGTTCTCCCCTCATTTACAAACAATACAACCCTCTCCATCTATTCATCCATCGAGAACTCTTTATACCATTTAAATGCGTTTCTTTTCAAAATCCATATTTTGCTTGCCCACGTGCAGTCTTGCCCACACTGAGTCTCACTCATCTCGCTCGGTGGACCTGAGGTAATTATGCTCCATGTTATTTACCGAGCTGAACCTGTATTCATCCACAGACCTGCTAATTAACTCCATCTGCCTATCACTGAAAGGCTCTAAATATTCTGCTCTTAATCTTCCATTGGGCGCTGACTCATACCGGCCAATCCCTGCACCTTCCCTAAGAAGCCTAGCCCCATTAGAGTGGCTTTTAATGAATTAAAAGAATAAAACAAGCAGGCTTTCTCATTGCAAAGGTGAGGCCGAGAGTAAAGGTGGTGCTTTAAAGGGAGTCCATGCAAGCTCTATGGTACCACTTCGTTTGTCCCTTCTGAACACAATTACAGTGACCCAGTGGGGAGTGCTATATCTCTAAGTCACAGAACATTGATCTTGTCCCTTCATGCTGTTTGATTGGCCGACTAAAGCTGCTTCGGAAAAAGATGATCATCCCTTTGCTTTCCCGCTCTTCTTCGGTCCTGATTCGTGATTTATGAGGTGACGGGTAGCTGACATTGTGTGTGGGTGCGTGTCTGAAATGAGTTTGCTCAGTCTTAAGTCATGGAAAATGACAAATGATTTTGTGGCTAGATGTTGGAGAGGATAGCTTCAGATCAGAGGCAACATGTCCTTTCAAACAAATAGATACACCATTATGTTGTGTGATTATTGCATCTAAAATGATGTTTGTCTAAAAGGATTTTGCAGAAATCAAACATTTACATGTCAGTCCAATCAAGTCAAAAGACTATTCTCTGAATGAATTATTCAGTCACTTTTTTAAATAGAAATGTGTTAAATATTTTTCTGTTGCAGTTCATGTTGATTTTAACCATGCACATATGTTTTATATTAATGTTTGAAATTGTATTTGTATCATAGTGTTTCTACCCAAATGGTTAAAACTGGTTAAATTTAAAGTGGCTAGTTTTAGCTAATATTTATTTATTAAATTGCCTAATTTTGTATTATATACACATATTTTGTATTATTCAGAAATTAATGCTTTTATTTAATGACTTTGTTTTTATTTAGCAAGGGTGCATTGAATTCATCAAAAGTGACAGTAAGGACCTTTACAACGTTACAAACAATTATATTTCAAATAATTGCTATTCTTTTGAACTTTCAATTCAACAATGGATCCTAAAATATATAGTTTCAACCAAAATATTAGGTATCACAACTGTTTTCAACATTGATAAGACATGCTTCTTAAACACCAAATCAGCATATAAAATGATTTCTGAAGAATGATGTGACACTGAAGAATTGAGTCATTTCTGCTGAAAATGCATCTTTGCCATCACAGGAATAACTTAAAATGTAAATTAAAAATACAACATAAAAAACCCCCCAATAAAAACAGATATTTTTTTACTTTTGAATATATACAAGTTTGAAAAAGAACACTTTTCTGTTTTTAATGTTTTTTCAAATGTAATTTATTCCTGTTCAGTGGGCGTCTCGTCTATTACTGAAATGCGTGACCTTGAGCATGCTGTAATGTGTGTGTCTGTATTTGACTTCCTGTTGTGCCAAATCCTTAAATCCCAATGCCAACAGCTCTCCTCGATTTTACCTCAAGTGCGCCGAATCGCAAGCAACATCTTCTAAGTGGAAGTGCGTGCATTTGCTTGACAGAAGTGACAGAGCCTTTTAAAGTCCGAGCAATGACACGGTGGCCACTCTGAAGTTGAATCCTCAAACACTTGTTGTGCTAGAGACTTTTTCCCCATCAGCCACCTCTTCCTCATCAAAGAACAGCAGGACATCGACTACGTGCCAGTCTGAACTGAAATTCAAAGTCTTTCAGATGCAGAACCGATGCACTCTACTGAGGGAGTGATTTGAAAGGCTGGTGTTATATTTCTGCAAATTTGGGTGCAGTTTGTTGATATAGGGAGATGGTGATGAGCTTTGGCTTTCATCTCAGGCTGTTGTTTTGTTGTGTCACAGATTCAAGGTGTCTAATGGAGATGTACTGTGTAATGTCCCTGGATGTGACGTGTGGAACAAATGATCACTATATATACAACTCTGATGGAGGCAGATATGTTTTGGACCATTACTCTTTATCCTTCGTTCCTTCTGACCTTTCTTAGTTTATATATGTCACATTAAAATCCTACTATTGTTTACTAATATGTTCTGCCTTTGCCTTTGAAATGTCACCATTTGTCTGCGGCATTCTTTTATGTGTCAGAGATTCAAGGTGTCTAATGGAGATGTACTGTGTAATGTCCCTGGGTGTGACGTGTGGAACAAATGATCACTATATATACAACTCTGATGGAGGCAGATATGTTTTGGACCATTACTCTTTATCCTTCGTTCCTTCTGACCTTTCTTAGTTTATATATGTCACATTAAAATCCTACTATTGTTTACTAATATGTTCTGCCTTTGCCTTTGAAATGTCACCATTTGTCTGCGGCATTCTTTTATATTTACTCAGTTTGTGTCATGTCATATTCATTGATTTTAGTCAATCAAGCCAAATATACAAATTATATATATATATATATAAAAAAAAAAGTAAGCTATTATTTATTATTTAGGTATAAAGAAAATAAAAGATCAATCTAGGCATTTTTGAATTCAACCGTGTAATTTGAATTATTATTATTTTTTTATTTTTTTACAAAAAGTGATATAAAGTCAGAAGGCAAAAATTGCATAAAACATGTTTCATAAATTAAAATAAAATAAATAAATAAATACATGTACTTTTTAGATTAATAAATATAAATTAGGTAAATTAGGTCAAACTAAATTGAGAACCACTGCCCTAAACCAAACCCTAAAAGAAAATTGTGCACAATAAAAAGGAAATAAATAAAAATAAAAATTAGAGATAGATAACATCAGGAAACATTTTCCATTAAAGTTGTCCTAAATTAAATCTAGGTCACAAACACACACACACACACAGTTGAAAGTGCAAACTCATAAAATTGCAGCTCAGCCACAGCCTTTAGATGAAACCAAAACAACAACAAAAATGATGTACAGGCTAGATAATCTCTGTTTTGGCTCTGAGGTTTCACTCTTACCCATATAGAACAGTATGGTCTATATAGGTCAAAAAAATTCCATAGCAAAGCTTTAATTTGCATACAGCGCCCCCTGCAGGCCCATAAGCATTAGAGCACCTATACTCACATACTGCACAGTCTGTTAGAGTCCACAAAAAAGAGAGAGATGGTGTGGTTGAACAAGTGTACAGGACAAACAGGGGACAAAAATATAACATATTGATGAGTAAAAACATGAAAAACATGGTTAAAAACGAAAACAAATAAATCCACACATATAACACATTATGAGGTTAAAGTGACAGGACATGAATTAGAACGGCTGTAGTCTGAACTCCTTCCTATTAGCCGGACGTGTCAGTCATGAAGAGAAAAGCCCCCACTCACCCTGTTCACAGCGCTACTGCCACGACCCAGAGAGCGCGTACCATCCATCTTCAGCGCAGAGCAGAGGACAAAGAGAAAGAGAAAAGAAGAGCAGAAAGAAACAGCAGGACCCAGGAAAGAGAGGAGACAGGGAGAGAAAAGCAACCAAGAAGAGCGAAAATTCAAATATTAGAGAAAAGCTGCATATAGCCCACAGATACAATAGTATTTACAGCTTTATGATTCAAGGATAAGCTTTGGCAAGTGTGAAAGCTTTAGATGAAGAGTTCCAGCTGACATTATAAACAATATTTAAAACAACTGATGTTATTTTTTTTTATTTTTTAATAAATTTAGATTTTCATAAAATAGTATACTTTTAATTTTATTATTTGCCATTTTTTGGTTATCAGCAACAGCAGAACAAATTATCATCAGCATAAAACTTAGCATTTAATGATTTTTTTTGAATGCTGATAAAAACATAACCAACGGAATTTTTATTGGTGAACATATTGGCAAGGCCAGTACAAACACTGGATATGCAGAAAATGTTGTAATATTTTTGTAATTATTATTGTATTATTGCATTATGTATCATTTATTCTTATTGTTGAACAGAGTTATTGGAGAAGTAGGCAGCAGGGGAAAAAATGAATAAACAATAAAATCGCAAGGTAAGCATGTGCTGACTTGTTAGAAAAGCAGAAAGTAGAAATAGCTGCTTTTTCTCTCCCTTATAACGCCCCATCCTTACCTGTAGGGCGCTGTCTTTGGGACGACCCAGAGTGCCAGACTTGTGTGAGGACGCCACATGTGCCAGATACTGAATCACTTTTTTTGTGTTCTCCGTCTTTCCTGCACCAGATTCCCCTCTGAACACACACACACACACGTACGTATATAAACAGTACAAATAAACCACCTTCTGCTGTAAAATAGGTTTAGACTATTTTCAGAGTTATTCAAACAAATACTAGCAGATGGCTTAGGTTTTAACAAGATACAAAACACATATGCTGAAATAAAATTAGCAACACACATCATTAAAGGGAAAGAAAATAATGATGGAAAAAACATGTTTCGATTGTCTGTCTAAATATGCATTATTCCAGGTTTGAGAGAACAAACAGGGCAAAATCTTCTGGTAACTTTGTCTTTTTGCAGCCAATAGGCTTCTGATGGGTCAAATAGCTACATCTCTCCTTATGCTGTAAAACTGTCTAACTTCTCCACATTAAATGTTTATATTTTCTGAACTTTCGACTGAAATATGTAGTCAAAGTCAAATATGCAGCCGTCACAGCCAGTGGAAACTCACGTGCACAGGATGGACTGATCTTCTCTGTCTGTGTGAGGAAAACAACACACATGAAGAGGGACATTAGCATAACAAATCAACAATTACAGTGACTTTGAATTATGTGCATTTTGTAACTGTGAATATGACAAATGTGCTATATTTGAGAAGAAACATATGAACTTATGTAATGAACAAGCTCAGAAATAATAACTTAATTATAAGGATTCTAAGGTAGTACACGGAATGTAACTCTAAATGACACAGTTACACAAATATAATAATACTGAGAGCATCTATATGTATCATACTGTATGTATATATTAGATTTAAAAAAACTGAAATTAAGTACTAGAAATTGTGGTAAACTGCAAGTGTTTTCTCAAAGTGTTTAGAAAAGATTTAAAAAGAAATCAGAACGGTAAATCTTTCTGACAGTTAAAAAACTAAATTAACATGGTCATTTATTAGAAATGAGTTAAGACCTTTTTTCTTGAAAACACACACACACACACACACACACACACACACAC